GGCTGGTTCCAACTCTTGGCTATTGTAAATAGTGCTGCAATAAACATGGGAGTACAGGTATCCCTTCAACATGATGATTTCCATTCCTCTGGGTATATACCCAGCAGTGGGATAGCTGGGTTGTATGGTAGATACAGGTATCCCTTCAACATGATGATTTCCATTCCTCTGGGTATATACCCAGCAGTGGGATAGGTGGGTTGTATGGTAGATTTATCTGTAATTGTTTGAGGAAACTCCATATAATTTTCCATAAAGGCTGCACCATTTTGCAGCCCCACCAACAGTGTAGGAGGGTTCCTTTTTCTCTGCATCATGACCAGCATTTGTCATTATCAGTCTTTTGGATTTTAGCCATCCTAACTGGAGTGAGTTGGCATCTCAAAGTGGTTTTTTTTTATTTTTTTATTTTTTTAGTGGGATAGCTGGGTTGTATGGTAGATTTATCTGTAATTGTTTGAGGAAACTCCATATCATTTTCCATAAAGGCTGCACCATTTTGCAGCCCCACCAACAGTGTAGGAGGGTTCCTTTTTCTCTGCATCATGACCAGCATTTGTCATTATCAGTCTTTTGGATTTTAGCCATCCTAACTGGAGTGAGTTGGCATCTCAAAGTGGTTTTGATTTGCCTTTCCCGAATGCTGAGTGATGTTGAGCATTTTTGCACATTTCTGTTGGCCATTCGTATATCTTCCTTTGAGAAATGCCTATTCATCTCCTTTGCTCATTTTTTAATTGAGTTACTCATTTTTTTTTTTTTTTGCTGTTGTTTGAGTTCCTTGTATATTCTGGTAATTAATCCTTTGTCAGATGTATGTTTTGCAAATATTTTCTCCCATTCTGTTTCCGAACCCTCGGCGGGAGCGCCTCTGCGCTTCCCATGCGGCGCACTAGCGCAGTGCGCCACTGGGTCGCCCCTCAAAGTGGTTTTGATTTGCCTTTCCCGAATGCTGAGTGATGTTGAGCATTTTTGCACATTTCTGTTGGCCATTCGTATATCTTCCTTTGAGAAATGCCTATTCATCTCCTTTGCTCATTTTTTAATTGAGTTACTCATTTTTTTTTTTTTTTGCTGTTGTTTGAGTTCCTTGTATATTCTGGTAATTAATCCTTTGTCAGATGTATGTTTTGCAAATATTTTCTCCCATTCTGTTGGTTGTCTTTTCACTCTATTGTTTCTTTTGCTGTGCAGAAGCTTTTTAGTTTGATATAATCCCATTTGTTTATTTTCCCTTTGGTTGCCTGTGCTTTTGGGGTCATATTCATGAAGTCTGTGCCCAACCCTACGTCCTGGAGTGTTTCCCCTATTTTCTTTAAGGAATTTTGTTTCAGGACATATATTTAATTCTTTAATCCATTTTGAGTTGATTTGGGTATATGGTGAGAGGTATGGGTCTAGTTTTATTCTCCTGCATATGAATATCCAATTTCCCCAGCACCACTTACTGAAGAGGCAGTCTCTTCCCAGTGTGTAGTCTTGGTGCCTTTGTCAAAGATCAGATGGCTGTAGGTATATGGGTTCATTTCTGATTCTTTATTCTGTTCCATATGTCTGTGTGTCTGTTTTATGCCAGTACCATGCTGTTTTGGTTACTATAGCTTTGTAGTGTAGCTTAGAGTCAGGTAGTGTTATGCCTCCAGCTTTATTTCTTTTGCTTGGGATTGCTTTGGCTATTTGTGGTCTTTTGTTATTCCATATGACTGTTAGGATTGTCTTTTACAGTTCTGAAAAAAATGTTATTGCAATTTTGATGGGGATCATGTTGAATCTGTAGATCACTTTGGGTAGTATGGACATTTTCACAGTGTTAATTCTTCCAATCCAACAGCATGGGATATCTCTCCATCTTCTTGTGTCCTATTTAATTTCTCTCAACAGTGGTTTGTAGTTCTCATCATAGAGATTTTTCACATCCTTGGTTAAATTTATTCCTAGGTGTTTTTTTTTTTGTGGAGGGCGGTGGCTATTGTTAATGGGCTAGCTTTCTTAATTTCTTTTTCCACCAGTTCATTGTTAGAATATAGAAATGCTACTGATATTTGCATGTTGATTTTGTATCCTGCAACTTTTGGTTTTGTATCCTGCTACTGTGCTGAACTCATTTATCAACTGCAAGAGTTTTTTTGTAGAGGCTTTGGGCCATTCGATATATAGGATCATGTCATGTGCAAACAGGGACAGTTTGACTTCATCTTTTCCAATCTGGATGCCCTTTATTTCCTTCTCTTCTCTGATTGCTCTGGCTAGTACTTCCAACACTGTGTTGAATAGGAGTGGAGAGAGTGGGCATCCTTGTCTGGTGCCTGATCTTAAGGGAAAAGCTTTCATTTTTTCTCCG